TCCAGAAGAAATACAGCCCTACCAGCACCTTTAGTTTAGCCCAGTAAGATCCGTGTCAGGTTTCTGACCTCCAGAACTGTAAAATAATAAATTTGTGGTTATTTTAAGCCACTGAATTTTGTAGTAATTTGGTACAGTGATAATAGGAAACTAATACAGTAAGTAGATATTTGTAGAATTTTGGTGGTGGTATACTGCAGTGAATTTGTTTTAAGATTTGACTTACTCCTTAATGATTCTCTGTTGAGAAAAAATGGAAAGCCAAGATTGTTAATTGCTGATCTAAAGTCTTACCTAGGGGCATCTGGGTGGCTCAGTCAGTTAAGCGTCTGCCTTCAGCTCAGGTCATGAGCTCAGGGTCCTGGGATCTAGCCCCACATTGGGCTCCCTGCTCAGCAGGGAGCCTGCTTCTCCCTCTCCTCCCCACTTGTGCTCTCTCTCTCTCTCTCTCTCGCTATCTCTCTCTCAAGTAAATAAATAAAATCTTAAAAAAAAGAAAAAAATAAAGTCTTACCTAAAGTACTTCTGAGAATGATATTCTAATAATCTAGTTCCACTAGGGTACATAAGTATTTTGTTCTATCTTTGCTATACTAAAGGCCAGGGTAACCATAGATGTGAACTTATCAACAAGTTTAGAAATAGTCCATCACTTCCTTTTGGTGCTGTTATTTTTTTTTATCATTATAATCAACTACATATTCATCCCAGCTAAAATCTGCTAACCAAGTTAATTCATCAGTGATTGGGAACTAAATTTTAAAATGATTTTGTATAGAGTTATTGGATTCAATTCAGTTTTATAGATGAAAGAACTGAAATTCAGAGCAAAGAAGTGAGATATGCTGTGTCATATTGCTATCATCCATCTGGCTGGCCTGCCTGTGCTCAGAGATCCTTTTACCCCCAATCTTTCTTTCTCGCAATTACATTTCTAGGTCTAACTTTGGGATTGGATTGCTTCAGGCCTTAGATAACTCTATCCATCCTCTGAAGCAGTATGGAAGATTAGAAGGTGGTTATAATGGACAGATAGTGAGTGGCCTTTTCCCCTTTTCTATCACTAACAAAAAGTCCCTCGAGAAACATAAAATGAAGAATGGTAAAAACAATGTCAGACACTGTTGTAATCTTTATGTAGAGTAACTCATTTAATCCTTACCATTATTTTTTGATGTAGATAACATTATTACTAAAGGTAAGATCCTGAGCCAGAAGGGGGTTACTTAACTTGTCCAAGTTAAATACAGGCAGAGTGGGATAGGGATGGATGCAACCCTTGACTTTTGTTTAAAACTGTGATGCTTTCTACTGGGTATTTACCCCAAAGATACAAATGTGGGGATCCGAAGGGGTACGTGCACCCCGATGTTTATACCAGCAATGTCCACAATAGCCAAACTGTGGAAAGAGTCAAGATGTCCATCGACAGATGAATGGATGAAGAAGAGGTGGTATATATACACAATGGAATATTATGCAGCCATCAAAAGGAATGAAATCTTGCCATTTGCAATGCAACGACATGGATGGAACTGGAGAGTGTTATGCTGAGCAAAATAAGTCAATCAGAGAAAGACATGTATCATATGACCTCACTGATATGAGGAATTCTTAATCTCAGGAAACAAACTGAGGGTTGCTGGAGTGGTGGGGGTGGGAGGGATGGGGCGGCTGGGTGATAGACATTGGGGAGGGTATGTGCTATGGTGAGCGCTGTGAATTGTGTAAGACTGTTGAATCACAGATCTGTACCTCTGAAACAAATAATACATTATATGTTAAGAAAAGAAGAAGATAGCAGGAGGGGAAGAATGAAGGGGGGGAAATCGGAGGGGGAGACAAACCATGAGAGACGATGGACTCTGAGAAACAAACTGAGGGTTCTGGGGGGGGTGGGAGGATGGGTTAGCCTGGTGATGGGTATTAAAGAGGGCACGTTCTGCATGGAGCACTGGGTGTTATATGCAAATAATGAATTGTGGAACACTACATCGAAAACTAACGATGTAATGTATGATGATTAATATAACCTAATAATGAAAAAATAAATAAAACTGTGATGCTTTTCCTCAAACTTTTTATCTTGAAAAATTTTAAAGATACAGAGTTGGAACAGTAAATGAACACCCATACACTTCCTTTCTCTAGATTCAACAATTATCAACATTTGCCACAATTACTTTATCTCCATTTGGTGTGTGATCATTTGAAATTAGTACGCAACATGACACTTCAAAATCCTTTTTTTTTTTTTAAACATTTATTTATTTATTTGACAGAGAGAGACACAGCGAGAGAGGGAACACAAGCAGGGGGAGTGGGAGAGGGAGAAGCGGGCTTCCCGTGGAGCAGGGAGCCCGATGCGGGGCTCGATCCCAGGACTCTGGGACCATGACCTGAGCCGAAGGCAGACGCTTAACGACTGAGTCACCCAGGCGTCCCTCAACATCCTTTATACATATAAAATACATCAGTCCTGGGCGCCTGGGTGGCTCAGTTGGTTAGGCGAGTGCCTTCGGCTCAGGTCATGATCCTGGAGTCCCGGGATCGAGTCCCACATCGGCCTCCCTGCTCGGCAGGGAGTCTGCTTCTCCCTCTGACCCTCCCCCCTCTCATGTGCTCTCTCTCTCCCTCTCTCTGTCTCATTCTCTCTGTCTCAAATAAATAAATAAAATCTTTTTAAAAAAAATACATCAGTCCTATACAAGACTTCTGAAACCTTTATTTTAATTCAGATATTCACTAATGCAGTACTTCATATTTAGAAGCCACAAAGAAAGGGACAGGATAGTTGGAATTGTGAAGAGTAAAGTTACTTTAAATATCTAATAGCTAGTTATGTGCTCAGTGCTTTGCCTGTATTTAGTCCCTTAATTTTCAAGACAATTCTATGATGTAGGTGATCTTATTATCCTCATTACAGATAACCTGAGAGAGAGGTAACTTGCCCAAGGACACCCAACTAATATGGAGCAAAACCCCATATTAAACCAGGCAGTTAAATATATTTTTAAATATTTAAAACAAAGGATGCTGAAGTGTTCATGATGCCTATCACCTTAGTGATCACACACACACATAAGTGGAGATAGGATAAATGTGGCAAATGTTGATAGTTGTTGAATCCAGAGAGTAAGCATACAGGTTCATCGTACTATTCAAGTTATCTGTATCTTTGAACATTTTCAAAATCAGTTCTAGAGTTTGAGCTTTTCTACTTTGTGCCTTGGTAAATGCTTTGTGGAAAAAAGTATTTAAGGATTTTTGCTAACAAACCTTACGGGGAGATCACATTTAGTAGGAAATATTTACTTGGGTACCCGACTCGAAGCTATTTTTAGTTTTGTTTCGTTTAACTTTTTTTTTTTTTTTAAACACCTGTAACCCAAATCTGGAAGGAAGTGAAGGTGCAAGAGGAGTAAGGGGGCTGGAGGCCAGGGAGAAAGAAAGGCAGGAGGTGATCGCAGGATGTTGCCTGCGGCCGGCGGCCCAGTGGATTCTGGGAATTGTAGTCTCCCAGTCATCCAGGGCGTTCCTGACTAGGGCCTCGGGAAAACCTGACTACGCTCCCAGAAGCCTCTGGTGCGGCTCGCTGGGAACGCACTTCCTGGGACGCTGCGAGGGAGACGCTCTAAGAAGCTCCTCAGTGTGGGCGAGTGAAATGTCTTGGATGTGAGAAACAGGTAGGTGTGGTCAGGAATCTGATTTTTGTGTCTTTTGCATAAGTCGTTGAGGATTTCGTGTAAAATAGCTAAATCGAAGGGAACCAGGGACACTGAAAACTGTTGACCCCGCATCTGTGGACGTGAAAATTGAATGAGGAGGTATTTGATCAGGCTTTTAAAAAAAAAAAATTGTGTACACAGGAGTGTGAAAATGTCGAGGTGTCTTGCCGGAGCAGCCGAGGGCTTGTTGGCCAGCGGGGTGTGCGGTGTGGAGCTGCAAGTTGCTATTTTTGAATCACCAGCTGGTTGTGTAATGATGACCTGCTCGCGGTTCAAACCCACTCGGTGTTGCAGGGATGGGTTTGTTCTGAGAGCGGTAACAGTCACTGTTGCGGTCTCTTTCTATTGGCTCTAACCCGGAGAGCCCCCCCCCCTTTTTTTCTTTCTTTCTGCTAGCTCTGGTGCTCCTAAGGACAGGGCTCGAAGGGAAAGAGAGGAGAGGAGGGGGAGTGCGGTTTGCTCCGGAAGCTTGGTTTGCTTTACTCTGAAGCCCAAGTTGTGTGTAATAGGCCTTGGAAGGGGCCGGTTACCGCGTTAGAGGAAGGCCAGACTTGGTGGCCCCACTTAAAATGAAAGCTCAGGGATCCTAGTGTGTGTTTTTAATTGTAAAACGATTTTCCCTTAATTTGGAGTGAGCAGTTATGCTTGATACCAACTTAAGAAACATACATTTAGAAAAGAAAAATCATAATTTGAAATCTCTTCTGTGCAGACTGTTGAGGACAACATTCTACATAATAATAGTGGGGCTAGTGATAAATGCCTTAATCCAGGAAGTTCTCTGGCGTTTATGTTTGCATCCTGCCTATTGTGATAAATAGTATTTGAAAAGGAAGTTGTTGATGCCCAAAATAGATCTATATAAACATATTTAGATGGCAGGTTGACCCATTGGTGGAACTGTAAACTCAAAAAAGAATTCTAGTTGCAAATTTTAGGATGCACAATGCAGATCAACTTAGCCTAGTTTTGTTATCAGTGTCCTTTTAAAAGGTACAAAAGAAACAATGAGTTTCTTTTACTTCGAAGACAACTAACTGCACAGTGTTTCCTTGGGCCTCCTTATTCTTAGTTGTGAGTAGGATCTAAAAAATCCATTGTGTGTGTGCGTGCGCTCGCGTGTGTGTATAACACACACATAAATAATTTAAAGAAGTATTATATTAATTTAGGCATTTTTCCTATTTCTTTAGGCCCAGATCATCTCTACTGTCTATTCAGATGTGCATATATTTCTTCTCTAAGTTGATTAAAGTTGTTTTACACCTGTCGAGTACCTCAAAGAGTAAGTACATCCTTTGATTTTACTCCTTTTCCTTTTTCCACCATATATCAGATGGCATGTTTTTCTCTTGTTCAACAAAATGAAGTTATAAGATAGACTTCCCTTGTGAGAGCAATGATTGATAACCTATAGTTTCTAAGAAAACTCCAGTTACAGGTGGAAGGGACTGCTAGTCTTACCATCAAGAAGTAATGTAGCTGCTGTTACACATATCTTCTATAGCTATTCCTGGGATTGTCCCAGAAAAAATTACATAGTGATGGGTCTGTGAATTCTTAAACCTGTTAGCCATTATTTCTGCCTCGGACTTCTTTGAATGCTATTCAAAACCACAAAACAGCTATCTTTTTGAAAATACTTTTAGTTGAAAATGATATATTTGATAACTTTAACTGTGTACCGAATTCTATCCATCTACTTCTGAAAGTCACCACGGAACAGATAGATGACAAATGTGAAGTGCTTGTTTTGAAACAGAGTCCTTATTTGATTTGGTCAGTAACGGCTCCATAGAGAATGCTCTGTTATTATTGTTACATGGCTGTAATCATCTGTGAATGATTGCTGAGATCCAGAAGAAAAGCACATTCCTAGCTAAAGGAAATAAATAAGTCTACTAATAATCATTATAAACTTAAATTTCTGACCATACTCTGTTTTACAAAGGGCTTTACTATTCATGATCTTACAGATACCTTGGGGGACATTTTACCGATGAGATACTTGAGGTTCAGAGGACATAGATGACTTGCCCGGTTTGTAAATGGTAGGTTGTGACTGGCATTTGGGTCTTTTGTTGCCTGGACTCTCGTACCAAGTTGCCTCTCACATGGAATCAACAAGCCCAGACATCTATATATTTGACGCAGCTTAAGTCTGTTGCCTAGTTAGTGTTCAAGAAAACTACTTAGATTTGTTAGATTAGTGTGTTCTTAACCTGGCATATTTTCTACAGTCCCTAATAAGGGATTTTCATATGGCAAAAAGATGTTTATCTTTTTTCTCCATTGCTATATTAAAAAGAAAATACAAATACAAATATAGTAAGTTGTTCTACTTTAAAAAATAGTTTTGCTTTGATAAACAGGCATTAAATTGATATATTAACCTGTTAATAAAAAGGGGGTATATCCAGTAGTAACAAACCTATTGAGTTGAAAACAGGATCAATACAGGTATAATTGATCGACTCCTTGGCCACTGTGAAAGTTAACCAGTGTTGCCAAACTTAGGTATGTATTTTTGGAAGAATAGTCTTTATGTAAATACTTGGGAATCGCCTCAGTTTTAGGGGAATTTTTTAGGGGAAGAAAATGACCTTTGTTTTAAAAAATGGGAGAGACTGGCCAATAAAGTAGAAAGTGGAGGGCATGGTTTAGAAGCAACTTGGAAGCTTCAAAACATAAGATATGAATGAATGAATGAATGAATGATAACAGAGCAGATTTGTAACTTTGGATCCTGACCATACCCATATGGAGCTTACATTTGTTTCTTCGTTTGTTCAGTTATTTAACAAATAATCGAGTGCTTTCTGTGTACCAGTGTGGGACACAGTGAATAAAAGAGAAGGCTTTCTGTCCTGGAATTCAGTCTAGTGAGAAAGATAAATACTGAACAAGGAATTATAAGCATAATCACTGCTCCCAAAGAGAAGGTACAAAGGTGATTTCAGAGCATTTAACCAGGGCTGGGGAAGGTAGCGGATCAGGGAAGAGAGAACAGGTTTAGGGCCAGCCTCCCTGAAAATTAGAAAAATGAATACCTTTTAGGTAAGCAAAGAATAGAATGGAATTAAGAAAGTTCTAGAAGGAAGAATAGCATGCAGTAAAGCCCTTAGCCAAATTTAAAAGTGCCAAATTTGAAGGCTAAAAAGAAAAGTAATATGACTACATAGTCTGTAACATGTTAGATGGGAGAGTGACACATAAGGAAATTGAGAATTTGACAGGAACTGATGGTGGGATTTGAAACTTTGGAAACTATATAGTTTTAAAATTTAGAAACTATTTTGAGGGAAATAAGAAGGCATTGAATGTGAGAAATGTAGTGAGGGGTACCTGGCTGGCTCAGCTGGTGGAGCATGCAACTCTTGATCTTGGGATTATGGGTTTGAGCCCCACATTGGGTGTAGAAATTACTTAAAAATAAAATCTTAAAAAAGAAAAAAAGAAATATAGTGAAATAATCAGATTTGCATTTGAAACAAGTTATTTTGGATTAAAAATTAATAGGCATAGGACAAGAGTAGAGATCTTTCACCCTCTTAATATGAACAAATCCTAACCTGAGAGCATTATTTTCAGTTTTAAATCACTAAACATACTCCATCTCCCAACTATCCCTATAAAATGATACTTCATCCCTCTAGTGAGATATATGACTTACCAAATCATGCAGATGTGGAGTTAAGAACAGATCATAAAAAGGAAAGTAGCCAAAGAAGGTTAAAAACAACAGGGACATTAATTCCAGCTCTGAGGTTGAAATTAGCTAAAGAAGTGAGGTTAATAGTATCTCCCTTCTGAAAAAATGCCATGGTATCCTTGTTGACTGTGTAAATTAGGCTTTTAGTCAATCTCTGGGCTCTGAGCTAAGAATGCTTGAGTAAAAGCAAGTTCAGGGGACTGATACAACATCTGTGTTGATTTGATGCAAGATAAGTTCGAACACACTTGATCCTGAAGTAAATATTGACCCACCTCTGCTCATTAGTGTCATTTGATAGTCTATAATCTAAGAACTACAGGAATTTATTTATAATAAGTCATTCATTCTGATCTTGTTTCTCATTCCCTTTTCATTGTAGGAATTAGTGGTACAAGGCAGCTTGATTGGAGAAATCTCAGTATTTCTGATACTCCCAAGTTTTTTACCCCTATCTGTGAAAGCAAGAGAAATTTATGATTGGGTTAGGACTCTGAGTACGTCGCCTGAAGGAGTTCTGAAGCTTTGAGAGAAACAGAGGGAACTTTTTTTTATGTCTTTACAACTTTAATCAAATCATCATTCTCTTTCATTGCTCAGTCTTTCTCTAACCCTGGGTGATACATTTTTTATGAACAGGTACCTTACTGGTTCACTTTGTTTAATATCTAACAATTATCCTTTGACATGTAGTGATCATACAATTGATTCACTCTCAGCATATTGACTTCTCATAGAACAGCATATTCTTTCCCTCAGTCTGATTGTTAACACATTGGAGCAAGGTCCAGATCTTAGTGGCTTCAGTGTCCATCCAGGGCCTAAGAGTATTTTGCATGTGCTGGATACTCAGTAAATACCGGAATTGAATGAATTGATTCATTGAATGAATTATTCCTTGGTAATAGCTACTTCCTTGTCTGATTCTACATTATCAATAGCCTACCTTTGTGAGTTACTGTGGTCTTGGAAGAGTGCCCAGTACTCATTTATTCAAATATTCCTAGAATGACTTATGTGTTGGGCACTGTACAAGTCGCTAACAGTGTATGGGGGAGACAGGTAAATGAGCAAAAGCCAGTAAGAAGCTGCATTTTGGAGCTTGACATCATTAGTAGCCTTTTCCAGTGTAAACATCCTCAAACCTGCACCACAGTTTCCACTGCTGGAACAAGGTAATTTGATTGCTAAAATTAAAACAGTTTTTCTCCCCATTTTGCATGAAAAATATAAATTAGGACTATAATTCTTTTCATCTGTATATTTGTAAGTAATTGCTACTTCTGGTAATACTGACAGAAGACAACATGATAAACAAGTAGTAAACTAATATTAATGGAGAAACTTAGAACTAATTATGCTTAACTTGAGGACTTTGAAAAATGGTTCACTTGTGCTTAAACTGATTTTATATTGTACAGTTATATAGGTATGTATGTGTAACTATATATTTTCTGCTAGTAAAATTTTTCCTAGTTTACATGATCAGATTAAATATGCAAATATGTTGTTTTCTAAAGAAAAAAAAAGTGCCTTCCCGTTCAGATACATTTGATCAAGTCCTAACCCAGTTTAGCATTTTGATCTTCTTTCGGGCCCCTGAACTCCTAGAAATGCTATTCCACCATCGCAGCAGATAATAGTTGACTCTGCAGAGGATTATGGGTACTCTGAACACATACTATATTCAGAAACAGTAATATTCTCAACCTTGGCCCTTCATCATGATCTGACTAAAAGAAGTGAATGTGCTACTTTAAGTAGTCTGTTGTGTTGCCTCATTGGGGGTGTGTTAGAAGGCAGAGAAAATATACTTGGGTGGTGTTTGGAGAGTGAGTTTCAAACTCTTAAACTAAAGCTGAATAAGATATTGGTCTTTATACTTTGTCATATGCAGAAAAAGAACACAGTCTTTTAATTTGGAATGAGAGAAAGGCCTGGCTACTTTTTTTCTTTTTCTTACAATAGCATTAATAGAGATAGGTTGTCGTTACCTCAAGAATTTGTGCTTTCATTTTATGTGAGCAGTAATGGTATAATAACCAATAACCACAAGTGTAATAACCTGAAATGCATGCAAGTCATCTTGAATCAGCCAGGAAGTAGTTGAGTAGAATCATTTCAGGGATCTTTGTTCTCTTCATTTGACTAATTCAATGGAGAGGAGTTCATTTACATTGTGTAATTATCCAGTATGCCTAGTATATAGGAATGAGATGTTGCTTTTTCTTATTTAACATTTATTCAGCAAATGTTCTTTAAACTGCTCCAGTATGCCAGGCACTGAGCTGGTCACTGAGTGCTAAGAAGTAGTTAACACTTGAATTGTTCTTAAAATGTGCCAGACATGTTTTAAGCAGTGGACAGTATATTAACTCACTCACTACTTAACTCTGTGAGGTAGGTACTGTTATTTTTCCCATTTTACAGATGAGGAAAAGGAAACACAGAATTCTGTAGCTCTGACCCAAGGTCACTTGGCTAGTAAGGGAGGAAGTGGGGATTAGAACCCTAGCAGTCTGGCTCAGGGTCCTCCCTCAGCCAGTCTGCTGTCCTGTGATCCTTCTTTCTCTACATCTTTGTCTTTCATGAGCCACCTTCACCTCAGCTGCATGCTAGTTTCATTTTCCATTTGCATGAGCACTGGGGGCTGAATTTGTGTTGTTTTGTTGTTGACGGTTGATGAGTGCTCTGACCCTATATATTTGAGTGGCTGACACATGAAAGTATTTGGTAGATGTGTGTTGAGTGAGTGATTATTGACAATTGAGAGACTTTCATATGTGCTGTTAAAAGGATTTGAAATTATTCTTATTGTTCCTCTGGTTTGCTGGGAAGTAAAATACTCATGTCCAAAGACTTTAGTTCTTTGGTTGCTACCTGACCCGGCCACTGGTAACCAAGCATAGGTGAGTGCACCTGCACTCCGGGGTCACAGGCACATGTGTTTATGTGCCTTCATATTGTATGTAGGAACCAGGCACAGACTTTCCCTCTTTGCATTGACATCATTAGTTGTGCTGCCAATCAGCACCACCCTTCCTGCTCTGCTCTCCTATTGTCCCCTCATGATTTGTCCTCTTGTGTGTCACCCCCCAGTCTGACTGACGGTTCTGCACAAGCCTACCTGCCATGGGCTGTCGGGATGTCCATGCAGCCACAGTCCTCTCCTTCCTGTGTGGAATCGCCTCGGTAGCAGGCCTCTTTGCGGGGACTCTGCTTCCCAACTGGAGGAAATTACGACTGATCACATTCAACAGAAACGAGAAGAATCTGACTGTGTACACTGGCCTGTGGGTGAAGTGTGCCCGATATGATGGGAGCAGTGACTGCCTGATGTATGACACTACTTGGTACTCATCAGTTGACCAGCTGGACTTGCGGGTCCTCCAGTTTGCCCTGCCTCTCAGCATCCTGATTGCGATGGGTGCCCTGCTGCTCTGCCTGATCGGAATGTGCAACACGGCCTTCAGGTCCTCAGTGCCCAACATCAAACTGGCCAAGTGTCTGGTCAATAGTGCAGGCTGCCACCTGGTGGCCGGGCTGCTGTTTTTCCTGGCAGGTACTGTGAGCCTCTCGCCTTCCATCTGGGTCATCTTTTATAACATTCATCTGAACAAGAAGTTCGAGCCAGTCTTTACGTTTGACTACGCAGTGTATGTCACTATGGCCAGTGCTGGGGGCCTGTATATGACTTCCCTTCTACTGTTTATTTGGTACTGTGCATGCAAATCTTTGCCTTCTCCTTTCTGGCAGCCACTGTACTCCCATCCTCCCGGTATGCATACCTACTCACAGCCCTATTCAGCACGCTCCCGCCTCTCTGCCATCGAAATTGACATTCCAGTAGTTTCACACACCACCTAATGGGGAAATCGTTAGTTCTCAGAGAAAACTTGTAGCCTCACATTTCCCTTGTACAAGGACCCGTATACATTTTCCTTTGTTTCTGACCAGTCAATGAAGCCAAATTTGTATGTCCTGGTAGAATGAAGTGCTGCTAGTTTTATGAAAAGTACATTATTTTAAATGTGAATCATTCCTTTTATCTTGCTTCTTATGCTAGAAAGATTTTTAACCTCTATATTGATATCTGATCAGTTATTCAAGTGGAAAGGGCCTGTGTCTCAGTTGAGGTAATTTAGAGCAACATGGTAAAGTAAAAAATGAAGACTAAGAGAGGCTATTGTACATGATCTTTATGAGTATTTTAGAATGTGTATTGTCCTCTTTCTATAATACCTTACACTGGGAAAAAAGGGCAATTTCAAATATAAGAAATTTCTTTCAGGTAAGAGTAATATTTTAACAGTAGTCAGTCTACCAGCTTAAGGCTGTAACTTTTCTTACTTCTCTCTCGGGGCTAATTATATAAAACAGAGTTTCATATTTTGAAGATACTTTTCTTTTGTGCGTTCCTTATCTTCTACCTCATGGCAGTGTTTAAAAATAAAATGCATTTTAAGTGATGTCAGAGAGAATAAGCCTAACATTTTTAAATAACTACTAGTATGGATAACATTTAACATAATTTTAAAAGTTAATAATTCTATAAATTGTATTATTAGAGTTAGAATGGGCCATGTGATGGATCGGTGCTTCCCCTCTGAGGCAGAAAAGCCTTTTTTTTTTTCAGATAGCGTCCACCAAGTAGTACTCATGGTCCTGTATAATCTCTTAGTGACAAAGAGAAAGAAAGAGGCCCAAGTGGTGTGTTCTCTTTCAGACAGTGGTAGGGGACAAGCATCTATTCTTCATTGACAATATCAGAGATTCATTCTGGTGAACTGCCTTTTGAATGATGAGTGAAGTAAGTTATGGCTTCACCATGACCACATTCACTCTTGATTCAGTACCTGCCCTCGTCACTGATTATTTCCTTGAGCATATATCTTTGCTCCACACTTTAGTGGGTGCTATAGAGGATACATGAAAAAAGTATGAGATCCAGTCCCATCCACTAAGAAATTTTAATATAACAAAGAAGATCAACTGTTATCTAATAATAGGAAACAGTCTGACTTTATTGGCAGCTGGTCTTAATTTCTCAATCATTGATCCAGGAATATATTTCAACCAGAGACATGGCTTTCTGACAGACAGGCTTATTGTACAAATACCAGCAATATTCTGGAACTTAGAAATTCAATTTATTGGATCCTTTAGAGCACTTACCTTAGCCTAGACACTGTAATAACACTATATCAGATTCACGAGAATGGGCAAAAGTGGTAAAGAAATTAAATTGTTCCCTTTTCACCTCTGAAAGTATGATGATGTATTGAAGAGGGAGGAGTATTTAAAATCTCTTCTAACGGGGTAACATTTAGATGCATCTGCATTAACACTGAGATGAATGCTTAGAAATTCAGGGATATTGGGTCTTTACCCTTATGAATTTGAGCTGCTGACTTACTTGGTATAATTTGCTATACATTAGTATCATGTTCATAAGGATATTGTTTTATTAATCATTACAAATTACACAAACCACTAGTTGCATGGTAAACAGATTATTATGCCTCTTTGCAAATCTGGATATGATTCTGGTACTTCTGTGGATGTAAGTGCTACTTTCCTTTTTTTCCTAATTACAGCACTGGTTTATGTATATAGCAAATAAATCCAGTTGTAGAATTTTTAAATGCCATCAGTATAAAGCATGCAAAACGATGTTTTTTTTTATTTACAGCTTCTGATTACCTTTAGTTCCATTCCTTTTTACTCCTCTCAGACGTAGCTGAATCTTGATCACTCCAAGACAATGGCAGGTAGAATTTTAAGATTAATATTAATTTCCTCCTTTGCTAATTAATATCAGTCCTCACTCTCACTAAATTTGTCGAGAAGTGTCAAGAATTTACCATCTTCCTGTTAGTATCAGCAATGTTAAAGAAAAGTTGACTCAACCATTAATACACTAGACAGGTTTTAGTCCATGGGATCATAAATATAAATGTGAAGCTTTTTCTGTAAGCATCTTTTGCAGTCTTTTCATAATCTGTAGCCTCAAATTAGTATTTACTATGGCTACATTAGGCAAAAGAAACAGATGTTTCCCTTATTGTCTTTAATATTTCAGATTTGCTCTCAAGAGCTATTCTTCAAGGCCATCAAAGGAAAGCAAGTATTTACAGTTCTTTTTAGTAATTTTTGAGCACTCATCAGGCTATCATTGTGATGGGGGATATGGATTTTTTTGTTGTTGTTGCTGCAAGTTATTAATGTTAAGGGCCTTTTACAGAAGCCAGCTTGAAACAACCTTAAATGTGGTATCATGCACCAGATTTGGTTTATCCAGCCATGAGAGAAAAAAAACCAACTCTGAGTTTACTTGTAATTATACACTATAATAAATAATGTTTGTTGTAAGCTGCAATGTAAAACCTCAGTGAAACTGCACTGTACTTCTTGGTGTTTATTAAAAGATGTATTTTTACAAGTTTTTGTTTCTATCCTTTTCCTCAATGCTTTAAGGTAAAATATTTTAAGGGACGCCTGGGTGGCTTAGTTGGTTCAGTTTCTGACTCTTGATTTTGTGTCAGGTCATGATTTCAGGGTCATGAGATTGAGCCCCATGTCAGGCTCTGTGCTGGGCGTGGAGCCTGCTTAAGATTCTCTCCCCTTCCTCCTCCCCCCACTCACACGTGCACTGTCTCTCGACATAAATCAATAAATAAAATATTTTGAGAAATGTTTCTCAAATATATGTAAATTGAAAAAGATACAGCCCCATTTAAAGCCCTACAGAGTAGCAATTGGAAAGGAATTAGAAAACATGGATTTATTATTCCAGAAGCATCAAGACCTTTCATCCATTTCTATGAGTAGTCCTAGGAATTCACTGGACTGTTTCAACATTCCACAAAAAAACACTGAGTGAAGTTAGTGTGCCAGATTTGCCTCATCAGTGGAGTTTTCTAATGGTCTATGTTCTTGAAAATTGAGAGTTCTCAAATGGTTAGGTAGGAGGACCTTTCCTTACTCTTCAGAACATGAGGTTTCCAGGAGAAGTGGTCCTGATAGGTAAGTCACCTTAAAATTTCTGAAGCTTGGGATGAACTTTTAGTCTTTTGGATTGCAGCCTTCTGGGATAGTTCTCACGTGCACTCCTCACTGAACCCCTGCTCTATGGTAGCACCTTAGATGGAAGAGCTATCCATTGCACTAGAAATCTGAAGCTGCTTCAGGTTAGACATCCCCAGCTGAATACGCTAACAATTCAGAGTCTGCCCCTCAGTTGGACAGATTCATTGAGGGTGACTATGTGCTAGAGAATCCCTTCATGATAATCAAATTCAAAAGAGACTGATTTACCAACCAGAAATGATAAATACAGATTACTTACAACCACTATCCAAGACCTGTTTTTAAAAATATACCGTAGGGGCGCCTGGGTGGCCCAGTCGTTAAGCGTCTGCCTTTGGCTCAGGTCATGATCCCAGGGTCCTGGGATCGAGCCCCGCGTCGGGCTCCCTGCTCAGCGGGAAGCCTGCTTCTCCCTCTCCCACTCCCCCTGCTTGCGTTCCCTCTCTTGCTGTCTCTCTGTCAAATAAATAAATAAAATCTTTAAAAAAAATAAAAATAGACCATAAAACAGATCTCCTTCAAGAAAAAACTGATTCCAGTCCTGGGATAGGGAAAGTACAAGACAAGCCCAGCATATCTTGTTCTTCCAGAAAGTAAGGAAACAAAGAATGATGGGGAGTTATCAAATTACATAGGAGCCAGCTTGAGGTTCCCAGTGACCAAATCTGACAATCTGAGCATCAAAATAAACAGTAATGGGTTATAAGCTATTAAATAAAGCAAAACTCTGTGTGTCTATACTGATAGAAATGGAAAGAAAGAAAAGCTGTTTGTTACAGTAAAATACCAAAAAATAAATACAGAAAAAAAAGATGGAGTTAGGAAAACATCAATAGAACTAAAGCTGGTTGGTGAAAGTTTGATGAAAAATGGGATAAATATCCTGTAAATACTTAGTCTCAAAATTCTGCTCCACAAATGACTTGTTAATTTCAAAGGGAAGAATAGTAACTTTATAGTGGGTAAACTTGCCAGACAGAGCTTTAACCAAGTGATCAAATTTATCACTGATAATAAGACCAATAATTCACCTCCTGATATGATGCAGTAAGACCACACCATTGCTTTTGTGGTGTTTCCATTAAAAAAAAAACAAAAAACAAAACGAAAACATAGCTTGAGAGACGCCTGGGTGACTTAGTCGATTAAGCGTTTGACTTTGGCTCAGGTCATGATCTCAGGGTCCTGGGATCGAGCCCTATGTCGGGCTCCCTGCTCAGCAGAAAATCTGTTTGTCTCTCTTCCTCTCCCTCTGCCCCACCCCCCACTCCGCCCGCTGCACGTGTGTGCGCGCGCATTCTCTCTCAAATAAGTAAAATCTTAAAAGTACAGAGCTTGAGATTAATTTTGAGGAAAGATGTGCAGCTTGTCAGTTCCATTTTTGCTTTTTGCTTTCTTCTCTTTCTCCTGCTCTCACTCTTCTTCAATTTTATAAAAAGCATAAAAACTTACCGTCTTAAGTTGTCTCCAAAATACTGTATACAGTAACTCTTTCAGGAGGGATTTTGAAGAGCTTGTGTTAGGTCTTCTGAAAAACTAAAAAGGAAAGATCCCTTGCAGAAGAGCTGTAAATCAAAGTCACAGAACCACAGGACTCGGGTCTTAATTAGCTGTCCCATTTCCATTGATTAGGAAAATATCTTCATTCCTAAGACATACTGACCTGTTAGCCTAGGAGTCTCCCCTTGCTCCCCCTCCCCCACATTTGAGGAACTTTTCTAGGCGAAGGTCATTCCTCCTATACCTGCTGGATGTCTCCCCACCCTCTAGTTTAGAAGGGCTGTGGAATTTGGGTAGAAAAAGCACAACTGTAGCCTGCCTAGTATTCATATCCAAATCTGCTCTTAATGGGGAATTTGGGTTGGTTTGTTGTATTTTGTCTGGAAATACGCCAACCTTCAGACTGTTCTATAAAACAAATTCTTAAGCA